CTTGGGACCCCTGAACTTCAATTCAATTATTACAGGAATAAAAACCAAAATATTTAATCTGTTAACATCTGAATTCAGAAAACAGATAATAATTTTTTCCTTTTCTATTTAAATAGTTTTCATCTACCTAAATAGCTACAGATTTGTGTCATCTTTAACACATGGTTTGCAGTACAACACTGTCTTTTAATTTTTTGTGTATATTGAGCCCAAATACATCTTATATTTATCATTTACAATAATTGAAAACTGTAGAGAGTGTTGTTGGGTTGTTTTTTTGTTGCTGGAAATGCAGCATCAACGTATTATTTAATTACTGCAAGCAAATGCCTTTTTTTGTGGTGTGGCAAAACTAGAGTTTCATCCAAGTGTGTATTCTGCTTTCCCAGCTTTATCCCAGCAGAAGTCATAGATCTATACCTATAGTTTGCCATAATTCCTTCCATGGCTGAGCTTACTTTGATCACTGTCACATCTGCTGGTTTCCTGCAGGGCAATTAATTCTTGAAAACTGAGGGCTGGGATGGGCCTCCTTGATCCCCAAGTCCAGCCTTGATTATCATGGGCAATCACATAAATGAATCTTTTTCATTAAGCACTTAGAATTTGCCTTGCAGAGCAATATTAATTGTAATGGTACGTTAGGATATCTTCTCTCTTGTGATTCTGTAGGTTTGAGTGGAGTTGGATGATGGACACACTTTGAAGCTCTCACAATACATTTCTGCATCCAATGCATTCATTTGCCACCAACCTGATTTAAAAAACCTGTAAGAAGCTGGCTGCTGCTTTCTTATTTTTCTCTTATTTTTTCTCATGTCCTAGGCCATGTATTTTTTTAGCTTGTAGAATAAATCTGAACCCTTCTGAAGGAAATGGAAATTCAAGCATCAGGTTCACAATTTTAAAAACTCTGGAAGATCAACTGATGCTGCTGGATGAGCAAATCATCATATGCATCAGATTCTGCCACTCTTACCTGTAGAGCACACACAGACATAACCCTGTAGGAGATCAGGGAACTGTTAAAAAATCTAAAATGTGAGAAAAGGACAATTACTGCAGATCAAGAAAAGGATTCACTGATTGTGGCCTTCATTCACAAGGCAGCACAGCCTCAAGCATTAATTTATTTAAACCAATTATTAAGGAGCCTGATCACTCCACTGATAATCATTCCTGAGTAATAAAACAGGCATAAAATGGATGATGCTTAAGTTAGAGCTTCATCTGGCCCCACGTTTGCTAACCTGTAAATAGTCATAGAAGGGTTTGGGTTGGAAGAGACCTTAAAGATCATCTGATTCCAACCCCCCTGCATGGGCAGGGACACCTCCCACCAGCCCAGGTTGCTCCAAGCCTCATCCAACCTGCCCTTGAACACTGCCAGGGATGGGGCAGCCACAGCTTCCCTGGGCAACCTGGGCAGGCTCTCACCACCCTCATTGTAAAAAATGTCTTCTTTATATCTAGTCTAAACCTACACCCTTTTAGTTTAAAACCATTACCCCTTGTCCTCTCACTACAGACCCTGCTAAAAAGTCTGTAGTGATTTTTTTTTTTGCAAGCTCCCTCTAAGTATTGAAAGGCCTCCATAAGGTCTCCCTGGAGCCTCCTCTTTTCAGGCTGAAGAACCTCAGCTCCCCAGTGACTGGGCACGTAGGATATCACAAGATTGGATTATTTCAGACATCATTCTGAGCACTTCTTTACTGAGGCAGATTATACAACTCTCCCAAAACACTGGTGTATGAGTCACACACCAGAGCATATTTTACAGTACATTTTAGAAGTGCTGTCAAGATTTAAAAAAAATGGGTGGAGTGGGCTTGCTGTCTCACTTGCAGTCCTTTTGTACTTATACATTGGAGATATATATGCCCTGAATTATCCAGCTGAAACGCTCTGCTAGTCATGACTCAAACAGATGCTGGAAAACTGGAAATGATTTTTTCAAAGTGACTCAAAGCCCAGAAAGCAAAGCAGCACAAGCTGAACAAGATTATGTAGGAGCGTGTTCCGATATTGACTCAGACATGTCCTAGTAGAGATTTATGATAGTATCTGATTCCAGCAGAGAAAAGCATCACAGAGGATTGTGGTTGGAAACCAAGGTGAAACTAAGGCACACACCAGTCATGAAGAAGACAAAAGTACCTAAGTATGTAGTGAAGGACCCAGCACACTAGAGCAAGCACCTTTCTAAGCAGGATACTATAGTTTAAATAGAATAAATAAGCTTGATATAAAAATGGGGTGGTCAAAACTCCTTGATCTTATTTTGAAGGTGAAGATGATCACACTAGTTTATTAAATGCTTACCCTAAGGCAAGTTTTCTTATAGACATATATGGGACAAGCTCATATGTTCAAGAAAACTGAGGAGAGCATTAATCGAAGCTTTATATTATGCCTAAGTCTAGAATACTATCCTTTTTATGTTTCTAGGCTATAATATTTTTATGTTTGCAGATTGTTAGCACAGTCAAACATTAATCATAGACTTCCTACTGGTCCAACACATTTTATAGCACAATACATTTGATCAGAATGAGAGACTGGGGGGCTGTTGTTGAATCACCTGTTAAAAACAAGAGTTTTCAGCATGTGGCATGGTCAGCAGGGCAGCTTGGCTGGGAGAAGCAGAGCAGGGATCTCACCCATGAGGGATGATGATTCTCTTACCCACCTCTGAAAAATAACACAGCACAGTAATCACAGCACTAAGTCTTATCAAGGTGTCCTGTCCCTTAACTGTGACCTGATGAAAAAGATAAGAAGAGGGCACACACAGATGTACATCCAATACTCTTAATGTGCCCAGTTCTGGAGTCCACAACATAAGAAGGACATGGAGTTCCTGGAGAGAGTCCAGAGAAGGCCACAAAGATGATCCTTGGGCTGGAGCAGCTCTGCTCTGGAGACAGGCTGGGAGAGTTGGGGTGTTCAGCCTGGAGAAGAGAAGGCTCCAGGGAGACCTTAGAGCAGCTTCCAGGGCCTGAAGGGGCTCCAGGAAAGCTGGGGAGGGGCTTGGGACAAGGGCAGGGAGGGAGAGGACAAGGGGGATGGATGAAAAGTGGAGGAGGGGAGATTGAGGTGAGACATGAGGAGGGAATTGTGGAGTGCGAGGGTGGTGAGAGCCTGGCCCAGGTTGCCCAGGGAAGCTGTGGCTGCCCCATCCCTGGCAGTGTTGAAGGGCAGGTTGGATGGGGCTTGGAGCGACCTGGGCTGGTGGGAGGTGTCCCTGCCCATGCAGGGGGTTGGAACTGGATGATCTTGAAGGTCCCTTCCAACCCAAACCATTCTATGATTCTATGATCCTTTCTACACTCTGCTAGCCCCTAGCACTTTGTGCCCAAGTTACTTCCTGGACCAACCTTCAATCACCATCAATGAACTTTCCATTCACATTTTTTCAGTTCTGTTTTGACCAAGACAAAGTATCTTTGTGACTCAGGGACTTCACACAGTGAGAAACACCTCCAGACTACGTAGTGTGGAGAGGTTATCAGCAGGATTTGGGATCATCAATTGCATGCTACAGTACTTAGGCTTGGCAGATTTTTCTCTCTGAGAAGAGGAAATAAAGCTAAAAGCAAAACTCTTACAGTACAATCTGTTCCACACTAATGGTCCTCCAAACAGGTGGTGTTTCATATCACTTCTAATAGCTTTCCTATACGTACAGCATGATTATCTTTCAAACACACAGTTGTATAATTGTTTTAAAGTCCTCCACCACCAACTCTCCAGCTCTAAACTCAGAGTTATGCTCACACACACACACACACAGTGGTTGTCCCACCAAACATCCACCAACTTCGAAATATTAAAAATGTGATCTACCTTCAGATCTATCAAGCAGCAATACAGTCTCATAAAATAGTAATGCTCCTTATTTTCTTGATTACAGGCTGGCACCAAGCATAGCAGCAGGATGGTGAATTAGCAAAGGCATTCAGACACTTCTCCCCAAAGGCACAGTGACCTCAAGGGTCAAAACCAGCTTTCTCCTACTGAAGTGTGAGCTGGTGCTCCCTTATGGCATTAAAACACCACAGAACTAGGGAGAGAATACCTTTTAAATCAAGAATTTCATAGGCATAGAGAAGTGACTCCGGAAGCTGAACAAGAATGTTTCTGGTAAAAATTGTATTTATTGCTGTGGCTGCTTCTTAATTCGTTTCTTCCTGACAAACCTGGCTAAAAAGGGTATTGTCAAACAAACTCCAGTGGTTTGGCAGTTGATTGGTTAACAGCATTTATTGTATATGTCACAAATGGCACTGACACTGTGGCAGCCCAGGTCCTACAGCATCACATTCTGTCAGAAAGACAACACAATCATTTCTCTAAGCTCTATTTGCTGCTTTACTTGTCTAATGCCAGCAATTGCATTTCTGTTTCTTTTCACATAATGCCTCTTGAGGACAGCTGGGGAGAAACCACGGGACAGAATCTGTTCTCTTTTGGGTTTTTTTGGGTTTTGTTGTTTGGGGTTGTTTTTTTTTAAAGAATCTTCCTGTGCATGTCAAAATCTTTCATTTCTTTAAAAAACCAAAATTATTACAATAAAACTTTTGCTGGAATATTCTTCATGTTAATTGAGACAATGTTCACATGGCATCAATGTGAATGCACCAAGCAAGTTGCTAGATTTTGAAGACAACCTCCTTGTTTTCATTTCCTGACTGTACTTCATTACAGCAAATAATTTTTGGAAAGTACAATTACAGTGGGATTGGTTTGGTTTTTTTTTAAAAAAACCAACAAACATAGCACTGAGGCCCCCACAACTACAATAAAACTTCAGCCTGTTATGACGTGCATTCCTCCTAAAGTAAGGAGATGAAGATCAACAAAAGAACCAACAGAAAACTAAACGTATTGCACGGTCGAAACGCAGAAGCCAACCCGCTGGCTTGAGAGAGGGGAAGAATTCAAGCTACCCCAGGGAAAGTAAAATGGCACTTGTCAGTCAGATTTGGCTTGACTGGGTCTCATTCTCCTCCACCTCTCTGCTCTTCTGCTTTGCACTTCCCTGCAGGGCCCCGGGGAGCGGCAGCAGCAGAGTCTTCCCTCCAGGACTGCGCGCTGAAGGAGTTTGTGACCCCTGGGGGCTTGTGCCGGGGGGACCCTCTTTGCAGGTGGTGGGAGGGCCGCACTGAAGGGGTCTCGGGCAGGGAGACGTGGTAGAAGTTGGGCAAGCGGATGTCATACCTGAAGCCCTTCCCCACCTGCACCCGGTCGTTCAGGGCGTAGAGTTTCTCCGCGATGTCGCTCCCGATTAGAACCGAGAACAGGCGGGAGATGAATCGGTGCTTAGCAAAGAGCAGATACAGCTTCTTCCTCCTCCAGGCCACGTACCTGCAGTCTGTCTCTGCTGTAAGGGTCACCTACAGGACAGGAAAATGCGATCAGCCAAGTGAGGAGGCAGCGATCCAGACGCTGCTGCTCTTGCTCAGAAACCAGCCCCTCTCTCTCAGTGGGCGCACGGGCTATGCCCTCAGCACACGTCTCACCCTTTTGCACCTACTGCAATTAAAGCCTTTTCGTCCAGCCAGAGAGCTCTGCCAGGTCTACTGCTTGTCACCAACCAGCCAGAAGGGCGGCTGGGAATGGACAGAAAGGTTGTGCCCAGGCCAAGGGGCAGCCCCAGTCGGGGTACAGGCTGCCAGCGTGTCCCCGCCTTGGCCCTTTGCTCCCTGCCTGCTCTCAGCAGCCCCAGCTGGAATGGCAGGGCTAAAGAAAGCTCTCAGCAAATGCCATTTGCCCTCGTGACACGAGACACCAGATCCCACAGAGGCAGGAGCATCAAGTGACAGCAGTGGGAGGGCTGAGGGATCAGCAGGGGCAGCCTGGACAGACACCATGTCCTGTGCTGTCCCCCCATGCCAAGCTCCTCAGCCTCTCCCGAGCCCGTGCTCTCCAGTTCACCTCCCTCAGTGAAGCCTCTTCAGCACCAACTTCCACCCACCTCCTGCAAACCTGGTTTCCCAGGGCTGGGTTTTAGCACAGCCAAAAAATACACAAACAGAGTCTGCCTCCCAGATTAGCTTAAAGAACAACTGAGTTTGTTGAAACAAGATGCAAACAGAAAGAAGATACAAATGGCATAACCAGTCCAGCAGGCAAAGAGGATTTCCCTCCCCAGATTACTGGAATGCCACTTGTTTGTGGCATTTCACACACAAAACCCACAACTAAATGAAGTTTACTCATCAGTTCTTGGAACGCTTTTTGTAGTATTCAAAAAACCCCTCCATTTTTACCTGGAAAATTCCCTCTTCTGTGGGCCTCAGTGAATCCCATTCAGGAGAATCCAGAAATTGAAGAGGAAAAATATAATGCAGAAACTCCCCATCAACTGTCACTCTGATCCTACCAAGATAAGATGTGTTAATACATTAGTACTACCTGTACAGCAGCAACGACTGCAACAAGAATGTGTTATCTCTTCTAGGTGAGGCTTTTAAATTCAACTTTGATAGCATGAAAAAGCAATCACTGCTGAACAGAATCCTAGTTATATTTTTGTGAACGCAGCAGGATCACATCGGTTGAAAGAGGATACGAGACAATCTTCCCAGACCTCACTCATGTCATGGTACCCTCTCTGGGGCAAGTCCATGCAAGCTCCATGAAGCTTTGTCATGAAAAGGCCCATGTGAAAAGGAGAGGTGGAAAACCTCAGGAATTACATGGCCACAGGACTGTCTCTGGAGCCAAGAGAACAGCACGGAGGTTTGGGATCTCTGTGTGAATGCTGTGGCCTTCTAGAGATGCCAAAGGAAAGTCTTCTTGCTACCTTTAAAAAACATTGAATTTTGAAGGCACACATGCAGGAAACATGATTGAACCTCATGAACTAAAAGAAAAAAGCACAAGCTATAGGAGTCCTCTTTTTGCATCTGCTCTGCACTGGGATAGATTAATGCCTTTTACAAAAGTGGAAGAAGCAGCCCTGTTCTGCATGAAGAATGTAGCAGGAACTCCCTGCACAAATACTAAATAGTTGGGCACATACAAGGTTGGACATCCCTCCTTCAGCATGACCATGACCAGAAGCAACCTCCATGTGGTACTTTCAAGACAGCTCCCAAGAATGCTCCAAAGCAGACTGTCACCAGGGCTAACTACCTAAAATCCATATCATTCCTTGTAGGTAGTCCTCCATCAGTTGAGCTTCAAGCTGTCTGCAAATTCCATCTGTCCCTGCAGCAGGCTGTCAAAATGCACCTACAGAGTGTCCCACCAAAGCCACCAAAGACAGATCATGGCCATGATATCATCTCCAGGTATCCCATCTACCTTGTGGTGGGGTCCAGGACTGTGTACCACTTTGTATACAGTACAAAAGCCAGCATTTCCCTTCAGGAAAGGATCAGCAAGGTTTCCAGAAGGGTCTCCAGTAAGCAGGGAGTACAAGCAGGTTTTTTTTATTGCCTCAGGGTCTAAGGGCCACAGTAAACAGTGACTGGAGACTCAGTGCTGCAAACCTGGATAGGGCTCAACTATGTCCCCTTGTAATAGCAGGGCACTTCCAGCTCTTTTCCTCTTCTTTACTCACTCAGTGCTGCAAACCTGGATAGGGCTCAAATATCCAGCTCTTTTCCTCTCCTTTACTCCCTCCCTTATCCCATCCCCTAGAAAGCAGCCAAATACAATCTGTATCATAAAGTGAATATCTCTATAAAACTGAGCTTATCTCAGCATCTTCAGTCTCATAACTACCTTTCAGTCCTGTTTCAGATGACACTGGCAGAGAAAAACAAGAAAGATGCAGCATTCATCAGCTAGGCAGTAGGCAGATAGCAAACCACAGCCTGAAGACTGAAGCACACATTTGTTCTCTTGATCTGCATAACCCCTAAAGTGCTGTGATTCAATGCTCTTGAAAAGAAATATTAAAAACCCTTTTCTTTAAGCTATTACAGATTTTGTGCTGGTTGTTTTGACACTAGTGCTGTCCCAGACAAGTGTATTTAGCCTATTAATATTTATATTACTTTTATTAATATTTAATCTACTTTACTGGAAAATGAACAAACAATACACAAATTAGGCTCTTTTTTTGCTTTCATTTTCAAGAAAGAGGAAAAAAAGAAAAAAAAATATTATGTTTGCAGTAAATCAGTCTGAACAAAGTGATACAAACCTGCCTGACACAAGCAAGGACAGTTTATCAATAGGTGTTTTGCCCTGCATGGCATAACAGTGTTCCTTCTCCAGGGTAACCACTTCTGCATCACAGCACAAGACAATCTTCCTGTAGACAGTCAAGGAAATTCCCAGAGGCTGGAAGAGAGCACTGTAGAGTTCCTGGAATTCTCTGTCAAAGGAAACACTCCGAACTTGGTAGGTAACGTAAATGAACTGGACAAAGCATATGGCAAACAGTATGAAATTCCAGGAGAATATATCAGCAGCACAGACATCCAGCCAAGCCCAAACAGAAGAGCAGAGAAAGCCCAATCCAAGCAAGCTGAAGACATAGAGAAGCCCAAAGAATCCACTTCCACCCATGAAGCCCACAACAAAGAGAATACTGGCTAGGTGGTAGATAGATCCCTCTGCCTCTTGCTTCCACGTGGTACAGGTAGGATGTGCATAAATCAGACCTTCCCAAAAACTTGCATTTTCTCCCATGGCTGGAACAATTTTTCAATTTGGCTGAATCTTGGAAATCTTTATTTCTGTGACACAGTTAGTGGGGTCCTTTCCTTTCCCATTCTTGCAAACTCTGCTTCACGATCACACAACATCAGGGTCTCTTTTGGTAGTGAAGCTACACTTAGGATTTCCAGCAATCAGGAGGCTAATGATCTCAGAAGGCAATGGTGTTTCTCATCAATTCATGCATGGTCTTGACTTTGGCCATGTCATCTGTAGTTTCACCTGATGTGGACAAGTGAAGAAAAGAGGAATTACTTACAAAATCACTTTCATCAATTAAACTCGATCAAAGCTTTCACTGTCTAAAACCACATCACAATCATCCCATTTCCCTTGTAGCCCTGTGATTCCAGGATCAAACCTTAACATTCATTCAATGGGAGATCATGTTGCTGTATTAGTGATCCCTGCAGCAACTGCCAAATCGCTGCTGACGCCACATAAACCTGCACGTTGCAACCACAACATCCTGTGACAAGTCCTTCCCCAGCCTGACTGCTGAGAAGGTGGTTGCATTTGCAGGTCCTGCACGTGCTGCTGGTGAAGTCCCATTTAATGCCCTACCCAGCTCCTCAAGCAGAAGAGACAGTGAACTCTTACCCCTGCTCACCTCCTCCGTCTCACTCTGGATTTCTGTCAACCCACTCTTTCTCTTCTCTGCCTTTCTTTTATCACTAATGAGTTCAGCAAGGCTGCTCTGTCCCCGGAGACAACAAAGTACATTCCCAAACACCACAGTAACAGAAACCCCAGATTCAGAGGGGATGGTCCCTTCTACTCCAAGGATGACAAGCAAAAAGCTGTCATGTGTAAGGAAGACTGCAGAGGCAGCTTTGTACAAATGATGTGATTAGAACACGAAGTAAGTAGTCCTGCAAAATACTTCTCAAAGGGCATTTGCAAAGCAATTTACAAAGAACATCCAAAGTTCTACCCTGTGTAATTTCATGCCAGGGAACACATTGTTTTATTATTGAACACTGTAAAATGTTAAACAAGCTATTCCCCCCCATATTATAGTGTATTTTAAAGACTTTAAAACAGTAAAATGCAAAATTGAAAAGCACAAAAAACCCCAAAATAAATAAAAAATAAAATACCATCTTTCTGTGTCTCTCTTTTAAAGTAAAAGACAGGCTTCGATGTAGAATTTGACTTAGCAGAAATTGCCAAACCAGAGTCTATCAGTGTTGTAATCAGAATTAAAACACACCAAAGTTGTTAAGTGTCTGGTTCTTGTCCTGATAAAACAGCAGGGAAGCCAACCAAACCTGAGTATCTGAATTATTAGGTTCTCTAGAATGATCAAAGGTAGGTTTTTGTTTGCTTGTTTGTTTTCCAAGAGCCACAGCAGTCAAAACTTAAAAAGTACAGCTGGTGCAACGAAGCATCCAGCATCGTTCAGCAG